GGTACTTGAACAATCCTCTATTTTTATAAAGTGTCTAGCTTCCGGTGTTTTCTGTTATTATTAGCAAGAAAACAACCTAAAACACCCACCAGAGTTTAAAATATCATTGTGAATCTCCAGCTCAAGGATAAAGATAAAATCTTGCAAGTTTTAAGAAAGAAAAAAAGCAGGTGCTCTAGAATCAGACTGGTTATCAGTCTTCCCATCACCAACACTGCACATTAGAAGCGACAAAAGTTCTGAGGCAAAACTACTTTCAATTTTGGCACATTTAAAACAGGACTAGAAAATACGTGTGTTTGGAACAGAAAAATTAAAGTCTCTACACAGATTTTTGAAAAGGAATTCATAAAAATTTATTGGATTAGACATAGAAAATAAAAATAAATGCTACCCTGACTTATTTCTGCCCACAGAAAAAAGGTGCTACAAGACTTTTCCCTCCACACTCCACCCCTGCCTCAATAAATAAAAGGAGACAATTAAACAACAGCTTTCAGAAATGGAACTGAACGGAGGTCAGAACCAATCCCTGAAAAAAGGGAAAGAAGGTGAACCTACAATAGTCCCATCTTCCTTCCTGGAGACAAATCTTGGTATCACTGTAAGGGGTAATCTTGCCAAGTTGAAGAGACCTAGATCAGGGTGCAAAACGCCAAGCCTACAGGAAAGGATCCTGAATCTCCAAATGGAACTCCTCGGAGTCTTTGGCTCGACAGCATTCTGCACACACAGAGAATGGAAATCCAAAGCTGGACAGAGAAATACCGTGGGGGAAAGAATAATGATCAGAAACCTCTAAGCCAAACCATTCCCAGTGGAACCATTTGATTTCACACAAACAGAGTCAAGTGACTGTGCAGAATATATGGGGGATTTGGTAGAGATCTCTCACACACACAAAACAACGAAGACAAGAAGCAGGCTTTGCAAGAGAGGTTAGACAATCCATAGAACAACGGGAGCCAGCTGGTGGCATGGTGACTGAGATGCGGGGCTCTTACATGGCCGATTTCTCACTCTTTGTCCTGTCTCTCCAGCAAGTACACGCACTCTCTAGCAAAAATCTCTAAAAAATGAAAGAAAGTAAGTAAAAATATCCACAGAACACTGGCCACTCTAAATCTACTGTAACAAAAATTAAAAGCTCCAAGGGATAATTTAAATACTTAAAAAGAGTATGGAACTGGCCTAAGCACAAACCCAAACCCATGGAATAGAACATAGAAACCAGAAATAAACCCCCATGTATATGGTCGACTGACCTTGAAAAGAATGCTAAGACCATTCAATGAACAGTCTTAACAAATGGGGCCAGGAAAGCTGGATATCCACTGTCAAAGAATGACTTGGACCATCTATTACAAATGAACTCAAAATGGATTAAAAATTACAAGCTTAATAACTAAAACTATAAGACCCTTAGAGGAAAATATTAGGCAAAATCTTTATGACAGCAATATTAAACTGTTGAAACAATGGCAACAACTTCATGGCTATGATCAAAAGACAGGCAGCAAAAGAAAAAAGAGAGACCAGGAAGCGGCACAAGGATAACCCAGTGTTCTGTGAGCTGATCCACCTGAGAAGGCTATGGATTCAGATATGGAGACCTTCCTGAACATGCTGGATTCACGCTTCTGATCTATGGCTGGCTGAAGTAGGGGGTGGATTGTGGTGTCAAGACCCTCCGTGGAGTGCCTGTCCCTCTCTCCACCCTCTCTATGTCTCTCTCATTCATGGAATAAATAAAACTTAAAAAAAGAAAAATAGATAACTTTATTAAAATTAAGGATTTCTGGGGACCAGCAGTTAGCGTAATGGCTATGTAGCTGGACTCCCATGTAGTTGCTGCAGTTTGAGTCCTGGACCCGGTGGCTTAAACTCACGCTGGGCACATGTGTGTGCATGCCCAAGATCCTGAGAGAATGGAGGAGAAGGAATTACGGTGTGGCCGTTCCGCCCCCCCCCGGGGGGGGAGGGTGATTTCTTGCTTTCTGTCTTTCTGTCTCTCTCTTTCTGGTGAGCGCACATGCCCTATAGCAAAAATCTCTCCCAAAATAAATAAATAAATAAAATCAAGAATATCTGTACGTCAAAGGATACTACTGTCAAAAAGACAACTTACTGATTGGGAGAAAATATTTGCTAATCATGTATCTGATCAAAGATTAATGTCCAGAACATAAAGAACTCCTAAAACTTGACAACAATAAAAAAAAAATCCAATTCAAAAAT